CATTGCGGATACTCTAGCCGTCGAATTAAAATAGGCCAAAATGCGAGCCCCAATAGGTATTACATTGTTTCAGCCAGATTACCACAGCTAGAAAGGCCTGGAACACAGAAAATAAAAATATGCCAGTCCCCACGACCAGCTGAATAGGTGGCGCCATCTAGTGCGGCCATAGTGAACCAGACAATCACAGCATTGTTGCTGCAGAAACATTGTGCATTGTACGTCTAGTGCGAAAACCGCGCAGTGACGTTATTACGAAATAGTAACCTTTTTATTCATTTTCACCTCAATAACATAACGCGTAAGTCAACATGTTCATGACTGTGGTTGCACGAAGTGTCACAAGATGTCGACACTATCGTTACAGCATTCTTGTATTTTTCATTTTTTTGCGATAAAAAGTCTCGTGATTTTGCCGCAACGGTGATTCATTCCTATGTAAGGTGAATGCAGTTTAAATGCAGTTGGCATCACCATTTATGGTTTGAGAAAACGTAAAGGCATAATGTTTGCGTATGATGAGCTCAATAGGTTGGAAGAGGCACGTTCCGGTAGGATGGTAAACGCAAGCTGGTGTCCGGTAACAGGTTAACGTAAAGAATTATACGTACAAGCAGGTACAAGCTAAAAGTTACCCAGAGTTACACGTTACACCGTTGCCCTGTCGCCGCGCTTGTCGGACTACGACTGGCAGTCTAGATTTCTTGGCATCGACGGTGCCGGCTTCAGTCGCAAGTGTGGCGCATACAAAAAGTTTTATTTTTTTGTGGTGTTGATAACTGTCATATTATTTAAAAATGATTTATTGAAATTAGTGTACTACATGTCACTATGTAAGTTTAATTTAGCATTTTAAATCCTAAACGTAATCAAATAATACTTACGCAACAATTAAGACGCTATGGCGCTGCGAGCGCATGTGAGCTTCATGCGGCTTGTGTTTGCGTGCGCGCCTCTATAAGGCATTCCAGTTGGGCATGGGTTAGGTACGCAACGCCGCGCGCCCCCAAGATCGCAACGCCCCATGGCTTGCGTACCCAGCACTAAAACGCCTCAATGATGATATGTGGGGTTTAACGTCCGAAAACCTTCATATGATTATGAGAGACGCCGTAGTGGAGGGCTCCGGAAATTTGGACCACCTGAGGTTCTTTAACGTGCACCCAAATATGAGCACACGGGTCTACAACATTTCCGCCTATATCGGAAATGCAGCCGACGGAAACATAGCGTTTCATTGTGCAGTACCAACGCCTCCTAGAAAAACTATGCCTGGAACGTGGCTCTCTCTTCAATTGAGAGCTTGCTGTCAGCACAAAATCTTAGAGGCCATGCCTTCTACCGCGTGTTGCGACCGTCCGCCGCATGGGACCGCTCACCTCTATACCGCTCTGTCACGTGACATCACAGCTGCTCGGAGGAAACTGTAAGAGCATTGCTGTGTTCCCAGGGGGAGGGTAAAATCCGAGGGTAGGGCGGCGCACTCGCGACTCACGTTCAAGGCATAGTAGACATACCTTGCATCAATCAGGTCCGCTATTGGCAACTGCTGCTGCTCTGCGTAGAACGCCACTGATGCTACCATATACTCTCGTTCTGGTTTCTTCGCGGTCTCGCGAGAACGTAACGTAGTAAGATTCGCGTTACGTACGTCGTACGTTACGTACACAGCGTCTTGTTCCGGGCGTACGCACGCGTCTCTGGAATCGATACGTTACGTACTGCACATGCGCAGTTCTCTCCCGTGGCAGTGCTGAGTACGCGGGCTCGTTGCGTACGCCCAAGCAAAAGTGCCTAATGAGTTGAAGATTCTAGGTAAAAGTGGGTATAAAACTGCGCGTGAGTTCATGGAAGCCCATTATAATAAAAGAAAGGTGAAAGGTGTATTAGCGAACCGTCCATGACGTTGTACGCATCAGAGAAGAGATTGTTTGATAGTTGGCTGTGTGAAGAGTGCGCATGTCTGTATGTTGTTTATTAAGTCTGGGTTTGCGCTTCGTCTACTTTAGTTCGAAGTGTGCCGCTGGTGCTTGTCGTTGTGTGTTCCTTTACTTTGTGTTTGTGTTATTTGCGGTCAAAGCATGTCATATAAGCAGTTACTCTTGTGCTAACAGAGCGGGACGAGCATGACATACGCGCACATGCTAGCCTTATGTGACTAGCAGATGACTCAGGGAACAATCCACACTAAGCGCGCTTCAGCTAGTAGCCACCAGGTGGCGACTCCGCTTGATCTCTGGATGAATAATCGGACAGCACGAAACGCTTCAAGAAACTTGCTCTCTCTCTCTATTTTTTTTACTTATTCTCGGGGCTTTTCCAAACGCATCAAAATGCGAGAAAGCCTTCCTTGATGGCGATTTTGAGCTTAGGTCTCAACCAAGGAGGATATAAAAACCTGCTGGAGTGGAAGCCGCCTATGCTTACCCATGGGAGGGGGTGAAGCCGCGCCGAGCCGCCGGCGGCCATCTTGGCAGAGGCAAGAAACAGCCGAGTACAGCTGCGCTCGCCCTTATCTAAGCAGCAGGTGCCGTTTCTCGCGTCTTCAAAGCAATAAAAACAGTTGTGTCAGGTTGTAAGCATTTATTCTTTGCTTTTTGGTGGCGAAATGGCCTACGATAACGCTTTGAGAAACTCGAAAATGGCAGAAAAAACACAATCAAACAAACATTAAAAATATATGCGAACAGTATAGCCGAAACGAGCAGTGCGGGGAGACTCACTGATGTTTGAAAATGATCATTCTTGAAAGAACTGGCCTGACCCTGTCCTTGATGATCTCGCGGTTTCTTTCTTTTGTCATATGGTGGATGCGGATTTTCACATACAGCTCCGCAACTTTTTTGCACAAGCTGTAGATATGATTGTCGAGGGGATCAAGGTCAAGAATGTGCTGCTCTAGCTTCTGAAACCAGTTTTCCTCTACAGACAGTCGTAGCACTTCCAAAACGAGATGCTTTGACTGGGAGTTAACTGCTTGAAGTGTTCCACACTCAATCTGTAGCCGTCGCAGCCCCTTTTCAACGGCTTCACACAAGCCAATGACACCCTTGGACGGGGACACAAGCCCACCTCTGTTTTTCTGCTCAACTAGGGGAACTAGCTCATCTGAGTACAGGGCTGCAATGCACTCTTCGCATGTTGTTGTCTTGGACACTTGGCGTACAACGAAGCCTGCGATATAAGGCACCACCGCAACAACTACGGCAGAAAGGTTTTCAGGGTGCGTGTAGTCGTGGTCATCGTGAGGCTCCAAGATCGAGGACCTGCGCATGTCTGTGAGCGCGCTTGTTGCGTCTACCTGGGCGACAACAGTAGTGGCATTCAGGACGGAAACCATGTATTTGGTGCAGTTTCCCGAGCTAGAAGACGTCACTTCTGTTTGCACCAGTAAACGCTTGTATGCTGCCATGAACTGAGCAGCGGTTCGGTTGTTGTTATACCCACCTCGGCCACGAACAGATCCGAAGAAGTTCTCAGCGTGATCCTGGCTCAGTTTGTGCGTCAACAAGTACTTCAGCTTACCCTGGCCAACAAGCTCGTCGAACATTTTTTCAGTGCTCGCCATGCAGATCAAGAAGCCCACAAAACCAGTTTTTTTCAAGCCTTCTAAAACTGGCCACCCAGCCGGATCTCTCAATCCCTTTATATACGCTTGGGTGTAGGCAAAGAATGGCTTCCAGCAGGCTTCATTCTGCTTCCGCAGAGGAGCCTTGTACGACCTTGCAAAAGGGTTCCTAGAATTAAAAAGGTCGAACAGGTGATCGAAGACCCTCACGAACTTCGATGTTGCACTGGCGCCCCGGAACTGGGGTAGCTTCAGCACATTTTCACAGAAGTCCAAGGCGTCGGCCACAGAGGAACTCAATGCTTGCGCAGCATATCACACCTTCATCTTTTGTTTTTCCCATTGCACGTGGACTTTCGTGAATTTGTTGCCCAGCCGCAGCCCTTCGGAACGCTGCAATGCCTCCAATGCCACAATGTAGGCCCATTTTATGTGCTTTCCTTCAGCATCAACAATGTAGCTTAAGTTCGCCAAGGAATTGCGAATAAGCTTAATCATGTGGCAGGCGTCTAGGATAATGTAAACATTCTTAGCATCGTCAGCTGGGTTCACAAAGCTTGAAGAAATTTGCTCACAGTCAACACGAAGTTGAGCACCTAAACACCTGGCCATAGTGAAATTCGACGAGGCTCCGTCAAATGTGAGAGAGACTACTTCAGCCTTCACCAACGCAAGCTTCTCAATGCACTGTTTGGCCAGCTCGGCCCTCTCTGCTCCTGTGAGTGAGTCTATTAAGAAGTATCCAACTGGCATCTTAAATCTGACGTTGATTCCAACGATCATGAAGACACACGCATTTGCAGCTTCAGGAAGACCGTCATCGTCAAGCCCAGTTCCGAAGTCAACATACCCTACTACTTTATCTCCAACTAGCTCTACGTGTTTCCTGATGGCCATGTCGTCTACAATGAGAGCGCAGTAGAAGGTTTCATCACGTGCTTCCGCAAACTTCTCAAGGAAAGCAAATGCTTCGGCTGCGAAGCCAGGAGCTCCTTGAATCGACTTGTACCAGCCCCTTAGTGTTCGCTGGGATGGGAGGGCTTCGTTTAACTTGGATCGTACATACTCGTACGCGGCTGGACTGTAAAAATGCAAAGTCAGTGCAAATGCTCGCAGCTCAGGTGGGTACTTGCCCTTCTGCTCATTGCCCACCCTGCAAAGTAGTTGCTGAATGTCATCCGAGAAAACAGATGAAAACACATGCGAGCCTTCTTCTGACAAGAGTTTTTGCTCTCTGATTTCTTTGATGATTTCTTGCGCGGTTTCATTTCTCCTGGCCAGCCTTCGTTTAGTTTGTTGCAGTGTTTTGACCTTCTTCTTCAACTGGGTTATCTCTTCTTGTGAGGAAAGGACCTTGTCTTTGTAGAACTGTTTAGTTGGCGAGTCTTCAGGAAAATTTTCAGCTCCAGGCAGGTCGCACAACCCAGAACACTCAGGACCAGGCGGGGCCGGGAAATCTCGAGACGGGGTCGGGACGCTTCTGTTTGACCTGGGTTTGAAAGCATACGTTTTCTCAGACGAGCTAAAAAGGCAGCAAGCGCAAAAACTAAATGAAACCTCACACGTATAATGTGGGTACAATTAAGCTACACATTTTCTTTGAAGAAATAATAAATGTATTAAGTAACAAGGTTTTTCATAATCGTGCACGAGACATTGTATGCCAGCAAAAAGGACATGCACCCGCTCTGGTATAACTTTCCATTCGCCGGATGTGCCTTTAAGTATTGAATTGTAACCACTGTCAGTATGCTGTGGATGTCAATAATGTTTTTGTAGTAAACATTGTTGTATGCCCATTCCTGCTTAAGACCTGGTAAACAGGTCAGCAGTAATAAATAAATAAATATGTATCTTGATCACCAGTTAAGGCGAAGGTGAAGCAGTTATCATTCCCGGTAACTTCACCTTCGCCGGCGGCGTCCGGTAATGCGGTAAACGGTAACGCAAACACGGTAACGATATGCTAAAACTACAGCTACTCCTCCACAGTACCGTCAATTCTCGGCACGCAATCAATGCCACGTATACCCGCAACAACATTTCGTGGAACAAGTATTATGTAGCGGCCGTAACGCCACAAGCGTTATGCACGCTAAACATTACGCTTCTCGTCCAACGATGGCAGTAATACTCACAGGTTTCTGCAGATGAGGCGGAAAAGCTGGAAACGACGTGGGCACACTTCCCACCCGCAGTCGCGTCGTTTGCCCAGTGCGGTCAAAGCACTCAGGACTGAAATGTACAGAGCACAGGCGGTCTCCATCCTTAGCGCGCCACCCTTCACGGCGAACTGCCCGCTCCCAAAGACTCCGAACTTCTGCATTCTTTGGAAACCTGTCAAGAAATATACGACAATCAACTGCGGCACACGTACACACAATGCCATTTTGCTGCTCTTTCATGCGCGGGCCTGCAAGCAACTACGATGCGGCTGAAATGACCGCGAGTAGAACACGCTAAATTTCATGCACTTACAGGTGAAATGTGAGGCCACAACCTTTCTTCAGCCTGTTTGTGCATCCGTAGGTAACGCAGGAGGTAACCATTATCCAAGGGCAAGACTTGCACTCATTGAAAACTTTGAAGAGAACAGCGTGCACCAGCAACGAAGCGTGGAGGCGACACACCGGCAGCGCGCTTTCTGCCTCCGGCAAGATGGCTGCCGCTGGCGTCACCTGACGGGCGTCGCTTCCACTCCAGCAAGTTTTTATATCCTCCTTGGTCTCAACCGAGTCGGGCCAAGTGTCTTAAACAGATGGGCTACCACATTACTTTCTATTTTTTTAATTTTAGACACTCCAATAGAAGGTGCACTTTAAGCTAAATCAGTACGACTTTCGTGCTTCTCGAGCGGATCGCCTTAATTCACCTTGATCCCGGCAGCACTAACGGCACACTGGTGTGTCTGCAGGCACCCCTCAGCGCCCCGCCGCGGTGGTCTAATGGCTAAGGTACTCGGCTGCTGACCCGCCGGTCGCGGGATGGAATCCCGGCTGCGGCGGCTGCATTTCCGATGGAGGTCAAAATGCTGTAGGCCCGTGTGCTCAGATTCGGGCGCACGTTAAAGAACCCCAGATGGTAGAAATTTCCGAAAACCTCCACTACGGCGTCTCTCATAATCATATATATATGATGGTTTTGGGACGTTAAACCACACATATCAATTAATCAAGACCTCCCTCAGCAAAGTTTTGGTCAGCAACTCCTTTGCGTGCCGCGAGGCGGTGGTGTTATACCAAAGTGTTTTTTTTTTCAAGTTTCGCTTCGGAAGTAGCTAGGTGGCCGCGTGTTCCCACCACAGCTCATACTGCCCTGAATCGCTTGCGAACTTCTTCACTGCTTTGGTACCCCATAATTAGGTATCTTGAGTTCAAATTTATTATTAACACACATTTCTGGCTAGCCAAGCAGTCGGCTTTTTTTGGGCAGCTTTTAGAGACTGCATCTGAGGCGATTGTGTAGCGTAAGCATTATCGCACAGAAAGCTTGATGCGAGCATTGTGAGAGTGACGCAGTTCTTTCCAATTTATTTCAGTTGTTTTGTAATTAAGTTGTCCAATTATCGCACACATGATTTTCACTGCAATAAAATTCTCTAAATCTGCAGGAAGGCTATGCACGACATCCCTCTCTTGTTATAGCGACTGCCGCACCTTGTACTCGTTGAAGCTGGAAACATCACAACCTTTTGTTATGAGGCATTCAGGGATGCTGCCGGTGCGCGATGGTGAAGCGGGTGGTGGAACTCCAAGCCCACGAAGCTCTCCCATGTTGATGTGGCCCATGCATCTGGCATCGAGAAAAGAGGAGGAAGAAGACGACGAAGCTGTTGCTGCTTGGCTAAGTAGCTCTGTCTGCTGTTATCGTTTATTTTTGTTTATATTACGGCTCAGCACTGCTCAAGACGTCGGACGACTCGAAAAGGTACCTGCCGTATCGGCGACCGACGGGTGCTGCGCAGCCCGCCGCGTCGAAAGGTGCTAGAAGAAACGAGACAAGCATCAGGGAGAGCGCCGCCATGACCTCCCAAGGTGTGACACAAGGTCAGAAGCACCAGCTGGTCTGCGCAAGCATACCTGACTGCAAGCGACAACACAGCGCTGAATCAGAGGACGAATCAACTGTCGTCGGGGACCACAACGGGGCGAACCTCACAGATCAAGACATGGACGAGGGTGGTTTCCGCCTTGTACGACATCGCAAAGACAGGACGGTGGGCATTCCTGTCTTAATCGCTCCAACATCCGAAGGAGATAACTTGAGGCAAGTGAATCCTATTCACCTATACTCGGAAATTGAAACGATTCTCGGTGGAGCCCCAGTTAAGAGCCGTTTCACAGCACAGGGAGCCCTGCTTTTGGATATAGAGACATAACATCAAGCTAATATGCTTCTAGAGACCAACACTATCTGCGGCCTTGCCATATCTGCCCGTGTACCACACAGCTACATGAAAAATACCTGCATTATAAAAGGGGTCCCAAGATGGTACTCGGACGAAGAGCTGTTAACCTACCTGAGACCTCAGGGAGTATACCACGCAAGAAGGATCATACGACGAGTCCAAACCTCATCCACCGAATGGGAATCAAGGCGCACTGACTCTGTAGTTCTCACATTCGCTCCCAATTCGGAACGTCCAGAGAAAATCAACCTTGGCTTCACCAGACACGAGCTGGTAGACTACGTGGAGACGCCACCACGCTGTTTTAAATGTCAGCGTTTTGGACATGTTGCCAAGCACTGTCGTGGGGAACAAAGGTGTAAGCGCTGTGGGGGGCCTCATGACTTTAAGACGTGTACAAGTAAAGAAAAACTTGTGTGTGCAAACTGTGGCGGCGACCACCCAGCTAGCTACGGCCGATGTCCAGCACGAACAGCTGCGCAGCGAAAAAATAAGACGTTTGTCCTGGGCCCGAAGACTGTGAACGAACCATCGCTCACAAAGAAGACTTCCGGCGCGCCACAACTTGGCGTTTCGGATAACGAGTGCGCAGGAAATTTTCCACGCCTAAATCCGACAAGAGCTGGTACTGAGTCAACGCAAGTGCTCAACGCTGGTGAGAAATGTATCACGAAAGAGTCCGCCAAGCGCACCTACGCTGATGCACTGAGCCCATCTCAAGTACCATCTGGAAGCCAACAGCAAGAAAACCTCGAGCACGTTATTCGCGCTCTGTTCACAGCACTGCGTTCACACGTCGCTAAGATGCCTGCGAGTTCAACGAAGGATATGTTGGGAGCAGTCCTGGCTTTAGAGTCAGTGTTACTTTGCTCTGCTTCCACAAACACACAGTAGAATAATGGCGCTGTCTCGCCCACCTGGTCTATTTCGTCCTTCAAAAGTGCCCTTAATAATGCAATGGAACTGCGCCGGTCTTCTAAAACGCCTGTGCGAACTCAACCTTTTCCTGCGCGACATTCCAATACCGATTCTAGCCCTCTCCGAAGCCGGTCTACCGAATGCAAGGACGCTCCCAGGGTACATTCGACACGGCAACCCGAGCATAACGTCGTTTGCAAATGGAAGCGCAATGATATACATAAGGCGGGAAATACCTCACGTCACCCTACCAGTGCAAGACCTCTGTTCCAACTCACTGGAAGTCGCTGCTGTGCAAGTGTGTCTGGGAAACCGAAAACTGAGTGTGGTATCGGTGTACATAAGCCCACGAAAAAAGGTCTCTATGGAGACTTTCCTAAAGGACCTCTGCACTCGATGTCCCGCTCCTCGAATAATCTGTGGTGATTTTAACGCGCACCATCCACTCTGGGGAGATAAGAGTGTAGATTTTCGAGGCAGGGAACTTCTAGCAGCTGCAGATGCTGCCGACTTATGTGTGGCGAACGATGGTAAACCTACATTTTTCAGGCCACCTGATTCATAGAGTGCAATAGACCTTGTACTTCACTCCACGGACCTTCTGGTATCATCGACCACGGCCCCAGACAAGATGGGCAGCGACCATTTCCCCATCTTCACCAATATCCTGGGATTTCGAACTGCTGGTCGGCAATTCTGCAATGTAACACGTTGGGACACCTACAGAGAAGTGTTGGACAAATCCACTGGTGAGCTGTTCGCAGATATGTTGCAAAGCAAGCGATCAGCAACTTCATTGCTGAAACTGCCTGACCATTTTCCTGCTCCAGACTTGAAATTGAAGAACCTCTGCGCAGCACGTAGACGAGCGGAGCGGAAAATAATGAGAACAAAAGGAAATCCGTCTGCGAAAACCGAATATAACAGGATAAACGCTGCAATTCGTCGCCATACAAAAAAATTAAGACGAAATCAATGGGCCGCTTTCTGTGAGAGTTTATCAACGTTTACGCCCTTGACAAAGATATGGGCAGTAATAAATAGTCTTTTTGGGAAGATCCGAACAAACAGGCCATTCGAAGCACTCGCTTTGAAACAAGGGATAGATTTGCAAACCCTTGCAGAGGATTTCGCAGACGTGTACATACCTGGTAGACCAGCAGGAGCGGCGATTCCTCTGTCACCCCAGTTTTTCCACACGATGGATACGCCATTCACCTTCCGAGAGCTGGATATGGCACTTAGCAAATTAAGAAGACGCTGTGCCGTGGGTCCCGATTTGATCAGCAATCAAATGCTGACAAATCTACCATATGAGCGAAAAAGGGCTCTTTTGGACATATTTAATCATGTCTGGAGCACGGGAGAGATCCCACTTGTTTGGAAGACAGCATGGGTGGTGCCAGTCCTAAAGTCCGGAAAGGATCCTGCGAGCCTCGCGTCATATCGACCGGTATCTCTAACATCATGCGTATCTAAGTTGATGGAAAGATTAATATGTACAAGATTAACTTGGTACCTTGAACAAGGAAGACGATGGCCACCGTGTATGACCGGATTTCGCCCACGACTGAGTGCCCAGGACAGTGTTTTGGACCTATTAAGCCACATCGAACACCACCGCGTCAGCGGACTCTCGACACTCGCCGTCTTCATGGACGTTGCCAAGGCATATGATTGTCTGCTTCAGGCAGGCATCGTGAACGGGCTCCAAGCCATGGGTGTGTCGGGAAATGCTCTTCGGTTCGTACATGAATTTCTCAGAGACCGCTGTGTCCGTGTTAAGCTTGGAAATGTAACGAGCGAAGAGAGACGCGTTTCCCTCGGCGTCCCACAAGGAAGTGTTCTATCCCCTTGCTTTTTAACGCTGCCATGGCCAGGCTTCCCGACACTCTGCACTCAGCTCTGAAAGCAGTTAAAATATCCATCTACGCCGATGACATCTGCATTTGGATCTCAGGGTACCAGCACAAACGTTTGGCCCGGATAGCACAGAGCGCTATTTCAATCATTGAGCGTCACTTGTTGACACTTGGCCTATCTTTATCAGCGGAAAAGTCGGCCTTCATGCTCTTCCCGGGAGTGCGACGGAAGTCAACACGTCTGTCGCTGAATATTCGAGGCCACTCAATTCGTTGTGCAACAAGTGTTCGCTTCCTGGGCATTACCATCGACAACAAGCTATTATGGCGACGTGCGGTTGATGGTATAGTAACTGCATCAGTGCAAAGGATCAACGCTCTTCGTCGCATGGCAGGGGTCCGTTGGGGCAACAATCCTATGTCCATGCTTAAATTGAATGATGCGCTTATAACAAGCCGCATTCTTTATCAGCTGCCCCTGACATCACCATCACCAAGCCAGTTCGAACGCCTAGAG